GAGTCATCATCATCAGATTTCAATAGCTAGCTAGCTGGCTCAATATGTTGTCTTCTCACTGTGTCCTCAGCATTGTTTTTATTACAACTTACAATTCATTACCTTGCCAAAATATTAGAAAAAATAAAAAATAAAATTAAACAACGAGCCTAAATCATATATAATGTGTAACGTGAATATCRCCCAAATAAAGTTCCAAATCAACACGCGGCAACCTTTGACAGACTATCTAGCTCTCTTGTTCTCCGAAATTAAAGATGACTCTTTCCCCCAGCTATAATGTGTTGACAGTCATGCTTTAATTACCTTTCTTCCCTCAATTTATAAAACATTAAAATCCGGAATGCTTTCTTTTTTTTTTTTTTTTTTAAAGTAGATGAACTGAAAGACGACTATAAAACAACAAATTGCAGTTTTCTTAATTAATTAGCAATACCTTCATTGTCTGCCAAACCTCGAAACCCGTTGTCAGATAAGTTAAGATGTTGCAGCTCTTGAAAGGGAAGAAACAAGCTGGCATTTAGAAGCCAATTTGGTAGATGTGCATCATCATATGATGACCAACTTCTGGTATAATTGAGAGAGAGCTGGATGATTGTGCCAGTGGTGAGATTACATTGAACTCTCTCCCAGGAACAACAATCATCATTATCATCGTCCTCAACCCAAGTTGGGAGATGGCCGGAAGAAGTATCATCATCATCAGTCCATGGAACAGAAGCCTTGAAAGCTAAAAGAGCCATCTTCTCCTGCTCCAAACATGCCATTGATTCATGATGTTGATGCTGAAACAGATGAAGCAGCAGCATAACAATAAGCCATGCCCATAATGTTCTCATCCTCAAAGCCCACCCATGATTTTGAGAAATGGATGGATTTCCCCTGTTTCAGCTTTCTAACTCCCCTCTCCTATATATAGCTAGCTGTAATTAGAGCGAAATGAATGATTATCTTTGTGGTCTACATATTACCACAAGTTCTACATCTTATAGACTTGAAGTAAAATTGGAGTCTCTTTTGTTCCTGAAATTAAAGTGATGGATAGAMGTAAGTCCCACGCTTTAGCAATATATGGTCATGGTTGCAAAATGAAAAGTCGTAGTTATTTTAGATGACTTGGAAGCAGGGACTCATCAAGGGTCCTTATATGTATGACTTCTGACTTTATGAGTCATGGCTGTCCACCATTTTCTTAAATTTATATTTTATTAAAATTAAATCTACAAGAGGAGAACATATTTAGGTGCTTCATTTTCAAAACACCAATAGCTTTTGAATTTTAGTTAATTAGTTTAGTTTTCTTACCTTTGTCATTTAAAGGACCACTACCTAATGCTGATTCCAATTATCCGAGTCTTGGGAGGGGTTAATCTCTACTTAAGCTCTGTTGCTTTTGCACAAAATGGATGCTCTCAGCCTCAAACCACCATTTTCACGCTTTTCTTAGCTTTTCTCATATGACAACAATTAGGTGAATGGTGAAAAGCATTTGTAGACTCCAATTTGTTGGAAGAAAATTTTAAATACCTATGCAACAATTGATGTTCATCAAAAATAACAATTCTTCCACCATGATCTTACTTTAGAGCAACAATCTTGATTATCTATAATTCCACCATGATCTTACACTATGTTTGGTTTGAAGGAAAGAGTAGGGAAAGGAAGGGAAATGCAAGGAAAATAGAATATTCTTTAAAGATGCTTCCCATCCCATCTTTTTCTCAGAAACCAAATGGACCACAATGATTAAAAGATCAAGAGAAATCTGATATTGTTGGACAAACACAACCTAATTAAGATAACAAATTTTAAGGAGGCCGCTAGGACTGTAATCGGATCGGACGTGGATTGGAGGTAGCAAAATCCACATATCATATGATTACTGAGAACTTGCTTCCAAATCCATCCGAAATCTGAATGGATTTAAAATTTTGGATTCGAATTTGTATCCTATTGGATTCAGATTTAATTCGACTCTGCTTAAACTTTTCTAAAATAATAGAAAAACTAAAATTTTATTTATTTTTCAAGTTTTATATATGATAGATTTTAAACCTTTCTGCTATTTCTGAACCTGTCTCTCGACAAGACCTTGTTATGTGTATTTTGAGTGGACTTGGATCTGAATATGAATCCATTATTACTGCTATTGCTAATAGACCTGATTATGATAGACTAAGAATTGCTGATGTTGTTGGCCAATTACTCAATCATGAGTCTTGGCTCAAAGAGAATCATTTTACTAAGTCTGATGATGAAGCTTCTGCCAATTTTGCTTCAAACAATAAAAGTAACTCACAACACTCCTAGCAGTCGCGCAATAATTCACCGTGCGGCAAAGGCAGAGGCGGTCGTGGGAACCAGAATGATAGTTCCAGAAGAGGTCGTGGATATAGCAATATTATCTGTCAATTGTGCAACATCCCTGGCCATGGTGTTTGGAAGTTTAGACGTAGGTTTGATATCTCCTATCTTGATTCAACCTATTCAGAATCCCACACCAGATTCAATTGTTGCTTTTCACATTGGTTCTTCATCACAGTTTGATCTGGCCTAGTATCCGGACATTGGAGCCATACACCACATCACATCTGATCTAGACAATCTACAGATTCGATCAGACTATGGGGGGTCTAACCAGGTGAAAGTTGGTAATGGCACAGGTTTGGAAATTAAAAATATTGGTTCTGTTATTTCTTATGATAAAAATAAATTTTATCTTAAGGATATTTATCATGTTCCCTCTATTACAAAGAACCTACTTTCTGCCAGCAAATTTACCAAAGATAACAATGTTGTCTTTGAATTTCATCATTCGTATTTTCTCTTGAAGGATCATATGGGGAGAGTTCTACTCCGCGGGCCCAGTAAAGGTGGACTCTATCAATTTCCCACTTTAGCATCCATTCCTTCATCTTCTGGTAGTACTGCATTTATTGGTGAAAAAGCATCAGTTCGAGTTTGGCATCATCTACTTGGGCATGCTTTAGTTAAAGCAGTTCGACAAATGTTGTCTCAGTTCGGTCTTCCTTATCATGGTTTGTTTGATATTTCAATCTATCATGCTTGTTAGTTAGGAAAAAGTCATCGTCTTCCCCTCCCTAGTTTGTCGTGGTCTTATAGTAATCCTTTAGAACTTATTTATTCAGATGTATGGGGACTAACCCCAGTTGAGTCAAATAATGGTTTTAAATATTATGTGTTATTTGTTGATATTTTTTCTAAATTTTCTTGGATTTTTCCTATGCGCCGTAAATCTGATGTGTTTAAGATTTTTCCCAAATTTAAACGGCATGTTGAGCTATTATTTGATAGAAAAATTAAATGCATTCAATATGATTGGGGAGGGGAAATACTGGAGATTTTCACAGTACCTTGACTCTTAAGGCATCGGACACCATCTCACCTGTCCACACACTCATGAGCAAAACGACATGGTTAAAAGGAAGCATCGCCATGTGATAGAGTCCACTCTCACCTTACTGGCCGCTGCCTCTTTCCCCCAGAATTTTTGGTTTGATGTAACTGAAATTATGGTTTTTCCAATCAACCACATTCCTTCACAGACTCTTCAAGGCAAGTCACCATATGAACTTTTATTTCAGCGCATACCATATTATTCTCTGCTTCACACCTTTGGCTATGCATGTTATCCATTTCTTTGTCTGTACAATAAGCATAAAATGGATTTTCATTCTTCCCTGGCTTGGGTGTTTAAAGGATTAAGGATGTATATGTATGACTCTTCAGAACCTAATGGTTTAGTGTATGGTACAAGGGACAAAATCTTCATCATGGTTACAGCAGGCACTTTTATAAGTAATATTTTATAATGAATAAATAATACATATAAACAAAACTATGAAAGCTTGATTTTTCCACACGTCATTTTACAATAAACAAAACTATCAAATACTTTCTCTTGATCTATGATTTTTCCACACATCATTTTACACTAAAAAATATATTTCAAATTAATATTACAAATCAAATATGACATCACATAAATTTTCTTCTACCATGGGGACAAATATAAATTAATATTTCAAATCAAATATGATATCATGGATCATCCCATAATAACATTATTTTCGAAACATACTTATCCCATCCTAGTGTCAGGCAAGTTCATGGCAAGGCAGGACCCACTCCTCGTTAGGGATGAGGAGTCCTCAAATTTCCCTGTCTTATCCTTTGTGTCGGGTGAATTCAGGGCAAGGCCCCCACTCCTCATCAAGGATGGGAAATCCTCGAATTTTCCTTACCCTGTCCCCAGTGTCGAGCGGGCTCAAGACAAGGCACCCGCTCCTTGTCAATATAAACTAATTAATAATTTCCTTTTCCATTATTATACTAATTTATCTTATTAATTTGTATAATTATTGGTTCAAATTACAGTTTTCCCTTTTCCATACTCATTTATATTTAAAAATTTTCAATAATTAACAATGAAAACTATATAAGTTTTCAATAGCTTTCCAAAGTCTATCAAATGTAATAAATTTCCTAAAATCTTAAAACTATTCTAATAATTTGCAATAATCTTTTAATACATGATTCAGATGCCCACAAAATTTCTGTTTAAGCTTTCCTATTGAAAAAAAAATCAAGCATTTATTCAATGTTTAGATGAAGTGACCTAATAAAGGGTGTTACAACTCCTCGACCATCTAACAAAAAATTTTTTTCCAGAAAAGAGAGAGAGGAATTAGATATCATAGCTCAAATCATGTAATACATTTTGGTTGCCACCTTTGGCCATCTACTAATATAGGGGAATCTTCAGGGAAGGCCGACGGTGGGAAATGGTACTTTTTTAGAACCACTGCTTCCCACCATCAGCCTCGGCTGTCCCTAGTTTTTGATTTGTCTCGCTTCACCCCATTAAGACTTGTGCTATATGTAGATTGTAGACCCCATAATTAGAACTGAACTCGCATTTACTTTTGCTTCAATTGTGACGTTTCAATGGATGCATGCAACTGCCCACAACCTCATCCAATTGACGGAAATGTAATCATAAAATTTCAAACTTAATTGTCTATATGTATCGTTTCTTTAACTAATTAATTAAGATGCTTGCATTCAAATTTTATATGAATTTCTTACAATTGGATGCCTTAAAACGATGTTTACAAGGAGCCAAGTCAATGGCAAATGGGAGTAGTGATTTGCCATTGACTTGATAAACTTTTTTATCTTAACCCACATTTAATTGAAGACATACACATTTAACATGCCATGGCCCATGCTTTGGGCCTGTCCCTCTCCCTCCCTTGCTACATCTGTTTTTCAGATTAAATTGCTTCATACTGTCCACTTGGGTAATTCTCTAAAACCATTGTAGTCCAAAATTTAACTTGATGTATACTAGTCATCTTTCTTTCCCCATTGACATAATAGTTTATAAATCCGATAGAACACGTCTAAAACTCTAAATCCAATTTTAAAAGTGAGGGAGTGTTTCAGAACTTAGGTGAAATATCAGGAGAGGAGAGGCTTAAGTCTTTTATCCTATATATAATATTAGGTAAATTATAAATAGTTACTTTGTACTTTAGGGGTAGTGAGGCTTGAACCATCAAGTGGGATATTTAGAAATATACACTTAAGTCCAATTCTGTTAAAATTGATGTTACAACGATGGAAACATTACAAAAATGGTCATATTTAGATTTCATTTTGCTCATTGAACTTTTATTTAGCAGACGTAATTGCAATTACCAAATTTTAGAAGAAGTTTCAGCAACAAGCAGAAAGCTTTAAG